TGGCACAGAGCTGTCGCCATTTTCCGCCAATGGCGCATCGTCAATGGGCGTAGGTAACGCAGCAGAAGTTGAAGCAATTGGTGGGGCAACAGGGGCAATCGGCTTGCACCGCGTTAGGAAGTCTAACGCCGAAACCCCTGGCGCAGGAGCGGTGGGGTCGGCCATAGCCTAAACTAGCTGATAGAAGATGTGACGAGAGAGACAGACCATGCTCGGCTGGGTGAGAGAGGGAAACAAACAGCCTGTTTAACAAGCCACGCTCAGCTGCATGAGACCCCCCCGTCATCGTGCAGTGAACATCAAAAGGCGATGCGGATGGGAGCGGGGGACAGGACAACCACCGTCCTTTTTTACGTAACGTGCAGGAAAGGGAAGCGCGCTGGCACAATGTGACAGCGCGTTGCTGTGACTGTGGCTGGCGTCGGCGCCGACAGCCAGCAACACGACAGTCTCCTGGCAGCAAATGCCACTCGGTTCGTGACAGCGAGGCTGCTACAAGACACGCACATTGAATGCACATTGTTCGTGCCATACTTGTACCTGTGGTCCTTTGGTCTACTGGGCATGTGGCCTTGTGGTCCTATGGGCTAGTGGGCAAATTTGTCGGTTTCAGACGAAACCGAACTCGATATCTGTAAAATCGGACGAAGTATTCTACATGGTCTGAAAAATCATACGAACGTAAAGCCTTTGTTTTGCTCTTCATATGAGGGAAAGCGGAATTTCTGAGAAAACAGATGAATACAAAAAATCACGTCTGGAATTCAGAAATTCAGACCAAATTGGTCTGATAACGAGAGCCCTGGTCCGCACCCTGCCATGCCAGTGTACCTACGAAGTCGGAGATTCCGCGATATACACGCCCATTCCGTAGCAGAGGGGCTCCATATATACAGAAGGTGTGCGTGAAACACAGAGCGCAGACTTAACGCAGAGCGAGACTTTTTCCCTGGTAACAAAGGGCGCGTTACTACTCTGATCTACGATTTTCGACCCTGAACAATTAGAGTTACATACTTTTCAACCCTGAGCATTCAGGGTAGCATCATTCTAAAAAGTGTGCACTCATAATAGAGGGGAAAAAAATTCCCCGGAATCAGGGAGGCCTAAAATGAAATGTCAGCCCTGCCGAGTCGGCCCTGCGGAACTAGCCCGAACCTCGCTGCCAGCATCGCACTAGCTAGCTCGCACGCACCGCGTTACCGTTTGCATGTATTCGCTCATGCCTTCGCTCATACTTCGTATTCGTTTGCTGACTTTGTGCAATCCTCGTTGCCTCGATACATTGCATGCGTAACAGATTTGTGTTGTATGTTTTCCCTTTTCACCCTCCTCCACAAGAGCAGCTTCATTATCTTCACTCCAGGGTTTCCCACGAAAACGCGAAATGCATATCTCATCGCGGAGCACTGAAACGCCAAGGGCGCGAGGATGTGCGACATGGGCATCTATTGTTGTCGCTTTCGCCACGACACACAGGATTCCCACTATTTCCGAGACGCACGTGCCGCCTTGATGGGCGGTTCGAGAATCGAGGAAATGCCTTGCTACATTCGAAGATGAGAAGCCAAGCTTCTTTGCGCCTAACCTCTTCTTATCTCGCATCACCAAGTTTTAAAACTCCAGTATACATTTGTCAGCAGGGTTTCGGGTTTTGATAATGTGCCTCACAGCTTTGGGGCAACTTTTCAAGTTCCTAAGGATTTTGAACTCCTCCCTTCAAATGTATACCGGAGCTTTAACTTTCGTCACCTCTGCCCACCTTGTTTCACCTTCTCGCACCTCAATCTTTCCCAGGGCGACACAAAGCCCAGGGCTAGAAATTCGAACCTTTATCCACTCCACTTTCTCCTGCACAGTAGTGTCCTTGATCATCCTTCCTACACCCACCCAGACGCTACCTACAAGGAACGGAGATCGCGGTTACGCACACGACATGCCCCTCTAGAGTGGAAGTGGGGGAACGGGACGTGGTGTTTCGAAATGTGAGGAGCTTTGACAGAACCCTGGGCGCCGACATCAACGTATTGGGGGCGTAGGCTTGAGGGGGTAGGCGCGAGATGGTTTTACTAACCAATGTGCTTCGTGTCTTACACGACCTTGGCGAATGACGCTTAGAAACGCGATAGACACGATTTTACTGGAAGTATCCCCCGAAGCAGTTCGCTGCTTGCAGAGCTGGCCCGAAGCTCCTCACTGATAACGCCTTGCTGCTGTTTGTCGATGTCAGTAGACTCTACTGAAACGTCAAGCATTGTCATTGGCGAGAATCCCGAAGGCCTTGCTAGTTTCTCTAAAGCTAGCATTGGCCTTGCTGCTAGTTTTGCCTTTCCGATAGCTTCTACCAGTCATTTTCCCCTTCGCTTTGTAAATCGACTCCAGAGACGTCATTTTTAGTCCTCTTCATTTCTGCATCATAGTTCCCCACGCTTCACGCGAAGCAGTATGACTCTGACGGCGCAAAGCACCGATACCGAGTCGCAACATGGCCATCACGCTATGACAGTGCCGACAAATGTGATAAACTGCTACTAGACTTAACTGTGATTGGAGCATTTGCCAAATGATCGCACTGCATTCTCCCATCGCTGAAGAGCTATAAAAAATCTATTAGGTTTCTCTAGGAGTTACGCAACAAGACACATCAAACTGTCAGTTTGGAGTAGCTGCAATGCTGCAACGATCTCTTGGGCGTACTTCTATGATCATCAGCAGCTTATGTCCACGCTGCGTCCCTGTAGCGGAACGGCTTGTAACGAACAAGGATGGCGAAACCAGGTGCTCCAGGGGGCGTGGGGAAGGTGCCGCGCGGAGCAGGCGGAGCAGAATTCTTTGCGGCTTGGCGCCGCTTGTCCTCGTTATCGTCGTCTCGATAAGCTTCGCCGTGCCCGCTGCTCCGCTTGCGCTGAAACAACTCCCACGTACGTTCCCAGGTCATTGTGCTCCGTTGCCGGTTATATCCACGTACTGTCCGTTACATCCACGATTTTGCACTTCACACTGCAGGTTAGTTTTTTTCCTTTACCGCCCATTCCGTTTCATGTCCCCTCTCTTAAACACCGTTACAGGCGCATGCGACTATGCGACGGGAAGGTGGATACCCGCTCCGGTGCGCTTCCCCCGTTACAGTGGCGTCAATTCGACGAGCCGCTACCAATGCAAGTATATGCGCGCACTTTGGAATTGCGACGGCACGGGCAGGTCCGACAAAATTTACCGCTCGTACCGCTGGCAACCGGAGGGGTGTAACCTGACTTACGTCAACCCATGGGGCTTTCTGCGACTCATGCGAAACAAGGTGAGCGAAAATTGCGCGAGGTAGGCGAAAACACCGAAACGTTTTTACATGGCAACCCCGGTTCTCCACTACTTTCTTCCTTCTCCCCCCTCCCCCCCTGTCCCGCTGCCCTCTGTCCCCCTGCCATTCACTTGATCCTCCTAATCTCCCCCCTTCAATTCGCCCCCTTCCCCCATCCCTTTCCCCTTTCTCCCCTCACGCCCCCCAACCCCCGTTTTCTAGAGACTATTGATGGTGGGAGATTCGATAATGGGGAACATGTACGAGTCGCTGCTGTGCCTGATTACCTCCGGACCGTTCATGCACCGGGTTAGTATTTCCTAGGCAAGGTGGAATGAACAGCTTGAGGACGTGTGTGTGGGGGAAGGTGCGTGTGTGCGTGTGCGTGTGCGTGCGTGCGTGTGGTAGAATGAACAGCTTGAGAAACAGAGAACGAGAAAACGAAAAGGAAGGGACAATGGCGCCTGGGGCTTGTTTGTGCGTGTGCGTGGGGGGGGGGGAAGGGGACGGGAGGGTGAGAGTGAGTATGCATTAGTGAGAGGTTAAGATTTGGTGGGGAGTGGAAGCGAGAGAAAGGTGTGTGAGTACTTAAGACTTGGTGGCGGGTGGAAGCAGTTTACTTTGGCCTGCTTCGGCTATAAGACTCTTTGTTATGATGATACGTCACCCCCACCTTCGCTCTCCCTAACTTCCTCCCACCTATCCCTCCGGCTTTCCACTTTCCTTCCCCCTTCTCCCACCACCCCCTTCCTCCTCCCCCGTCCCCCTTCCCCCTTCCCCCGTCCCCGTCCCCCTTCCCCTCCCCCGTCCCCCTTCCCCCTCCCCCTTTCCCTTCCCCCTCCTCAGAAAGTGAGCAATCGCGCGCCCAGCGGAGCGCGTTTCCGCGGCTTCTCCTTCCCCGGCTTCCGACTCATCCTTTTCCCCCCCACTCCCCATCTCCGCTCCCGTCTTCCCCCCCTTCCGCCGCCCCGTTTTTCCCCAAAAACTACTACCGCACTCCCAGCGGGGCCCGCTTCCGAGGCCTGTCCTTCCCCGGATTCCGCTTCGAAATATTCTACTACTTCCTCCCGCACCTTATGCGCTCCCCGCTCCCCCTTCCCCCCTCCCCCTCCACCGGCCCCCCTCCCCCCTTTCACCCCTCCAGAAAGTGAGCTACCGCACCCCTAGCGGAGCGCGTTTCCGCGGGTTTTCCTTCCCCGGCTTCCGCTTCGAAATCCACTATTACTTCCTCCCGCACCTCATGCGCTCCTCTAAAGGCTATAACGAGAACGGAAAAAAGGGCAACCACGGATATCAAATCAACGTGGATGTTATCGATCCGGATCTTCTCCACGTCATCCCCGCGTATCACGGGATTATATTCCATTCCATGGCGTGGTGGATGCGGAACGTTCCGGGAAGGAGCAAGGGGAACGGCTACTTCCGCGGCGGGAAGCAGGTCGAAATCTCCGACGTGGACGCGTATCGCGAGGCCATGCACAATCTCGGGCAGCACCTGAAAAATATCGACTACCCGGGCGTGCCGTATTTCGTCTCGTCCTCTCCGAAGCACTACAACCCGCCAGCGAATGCCACCAAGGCCGGCGCGTGCGGCGCGACGTCCGTAGTTAAAGCCGCTGTGGCCCAACTATACCCGACTACCCAGGAAACGGAGAACTTCTACGCGATGCAGAAGCTGTCTCTAACGGGTACGGGCAGCCCGATGCGCCTGTTGCGCGTGACGCGCCTGAGCGCGGTGCGGCCCGACGGGCACCTAGGTCTCTGGAGCGACGACATCGTGAGAAACCCGGAATTTAAGGATCTGACGAAGCGCATGGAGATTTGGCCGGGGGACTGCACTCACTGGTGCCTGCCAGGCGTGCCCGACGCGTGGGTCGATCTTTATTACACTAATGCCCTCCTAGAACCGACGTTTGTCCAGCTCGCGAACGCGCCTCCCGCGCCGCTTCCGCCGTCCGCGGGGGGAGGCGGGCGGAAGAATCGGACCAACGGGGGAGGGGAGCAGCGGAGTCCGCCGCAAGGGGGAGGCGGAGCGGGCGGAGGAGGGGGAGGTGGAGGGGGGGCAGGGGGAGGAGGGGGTGGAGGAGTGGGAGAAACAGGGGGAGGAGGTGGGGAGACAGCCCCTGTAGTCAACCCACCTATAGTCCAGACTCCTCCTGTCAAACCTCCTGCAGTCAAGCCACCCGCTGCCAAGCCGCCTGTAACCAACCCTCCTGCAGTCAAACCTCCTGCAGTCAAACCCCCAGTTGTCAAACCTCCTGCAGCCAAAACCCCCGTAGTAAGCCCGCCTGTAGTCAAACCTCCTGCAACGAAGCCACCCGTTGTCAAGCCTCCCGCAGTCAACCCCCCTACAACAAAGCCTCCTGTAGTCAACCCACCTGTAGCCAAACCTCCTGCAGTGAATTCACCTGCTGTCAAGTCTCCTATAACCAAACCCCCTGTGGTGAACCCCCCTGTGGTCAAGCCTCCTGCCGCCAAGCCCCCTGCAGTCAACCCCCCTACAACCAAGCCTCCTCTAGTCAAACCGCCAGCAGCGAAGCCACCAGCAGCTAAAGCTCCAGCTGTCAAACCGCCAGGTGTCAATCCGCCATTGGTTCGCCCACCTGTCACTTCTCCAGCTCCAAAAACACCTGTCAGGGCACCTGTAGGCCCGAAAACACCTGGTCGTGTGGTGGTCTCTCCAGGGTTAGTGCAGGCCCCGGGAGGGAAAATAGGTGTGGTGGGAAGGTGGGGAGCAGGAGGAGCAGCAGGGCGGAAAGCAGGAGGAGGAGCAAGGGGAGGAGCAGGGGGAGGATCAGCAAGTGGAAGAGGAGTGGCAGGAGGGGGCGGGCAGAGTGCAGGACAAGGGCAGGTTACCAGAAGTATAACAAACAACACAAGCGGAACAAGGGTGGCAAATACGCTTTGGTCACTTGACAGCACAGAATCTTGGTAGCGAGCAGTCTATTGTTCGTAGTAACGAGTACGCATTGATATAGTAGGGTGAAGAATAGCTTATGTGGTATGGGAGGCCTATCAATACAATTACGACCATTTAATGGCACCAAACGCATTGACAATGACAAACTGCGTTGGAAACTGCGTGTGTTTTCAAATGACAATGTACAGTCAGATAGTAGTGTGATCACTAAACTGAGCTGAGTCCGTGTGCTTTGCTGAGATACGGGATGTGTGCTTGTGCCCACTGCTCATCATAGTGATGTCAGACATTGCAACCAGGCCCCAAAATGTCAGGGTAAAATACCCTGATTGCCCTGACTGGCGGCCTCTTTTTTTGTTTACCCTTGTCAGAAACTGAATGATGAGTTGACTGATGTGGATTAGGGTACATAAGCCTAACCCTAACTGTTGTAGCCCATATGACACGCATCATTGAAGGTTACAACATTTGACAACCCTGACTCGGTCAGCCTCCCAAGCTTTAAACCCTGACCCAAAAAGTGATTGTTTCTTTTTTACCCTTATAAATTCGAATTTCATATGTGTCCCCTAACATCATTAGTGTTCCCCCCCACTAATCTTGATACTGAATCCTCGAAAGCAAGGATTCTGCTACACTACACATACACTGCATCTGTGGCGCGGTGCCACTCCCCCATTTTGTCGCAACCGCCTTGAGGTGGGAAAATGCCGAACCTGACAGCGACACGAAATTTGCTCCCATTGGTGTGTTCGGCCAGATTCCTGCCAGCGCACCTGTGGATGCTGCTAATACAGCTTATAGTCCACTGCTAAGCGTGGTTGTTTTTGCGACAGCACAGCAATTCTGCCGCGATGCATGGCTCGTCTTGCCCAGCGCTGTAGTTGGCACGCCATCACGCGCAGTACCTGCTATGCAGCGCCTTGCTTTATGGACAGCTATGCGCGGTTCGCAGGGGGTCCTTCCTTTCCAAAGGGAACCCATCTTCATCGCCTCTCTCTTGCACTTCCCCGAGGTCTCACGGATTAGCACCAGCCAGTCATGCCAGCCGAGCAAGAGCAGGAACCGCCCGGGGGCCCAAGAAACGGGCTCTCAGTTCTTGGCGTTCTACCCAAGCTATCGGAGAACTGCAGCATCCCCATCGCACAGCCTCCTCGTAACGCCTCGCCCGTGCGAAGCGTCGGCTATGTGTTTCCATTCGCTAAACCCAATTCACCAAGTGCTTATGAGCCACAGCCGTCGCTGGTTCTTGTTCCTGGCGGCGATGAAGGCAGCTCCATGCCTTCTTCTGCCTCCCCGTCGACTCTGAACAGCACGCCTGGCAAAAGGCCACGGGTCAGGGTGAAATACACTGAGCTGAGGCTCTACGGCACCCCGCCACCAACGAGGGATGCATCACCGAAGCATACAGAAGCTCCTCCCGATCCCAAACCACCAACCGTAATCGCAGAAGCTGAGTAAGCAGCGTACAAGCACAGGTACAACACGGAGTGGGCTGGGAAATTTGTTTGGTTACGGCTACATCGTCAGACCAACGGGAGGCCTTCGCTAAAATGGTAAGATTTGCATTCAGTACGAAGATCCTACCGCTCGCACTGTATACGGCGCGAAAAGTGAGGGTGGCCGTGACTTGCGAATTGGTACCATTCATGTTCGCTCATCTACCCGAGCACATAAACAGGCGCTGGAGAACAAGGCTCGAGCACTTGCGGCTAAGGAGAAGCAAGTTACATTGACAAGGTGGCAGCAGAAGGATTCGTCTACTCGCCACATCATCCGCTGCCTGCATATCGCGATGTTCATCCGCAAGGCCGACGCCCCCATCGCTATGTTCGTCCCCCTGTGCTAGTTTCTCGCTAAGGAGGGTCTACCAGATCTTTCCCCCAATGGTGGCCGCCTATTACACAGAGTGAGTTGATTGTTTTTTTGTTTGTATTGCTTTTAGTTTGAGTATCATTGAATTTATCTAATCGTCACGTTTCCTTGTTTGTGTTGTAGTTACGGTTTGAAGGAGTGTCTTCGTGCGACATCCACATACCTGCAGGAGGCATAACGACTTCATCTTATGGAATCGCCATGGATTGGCCTGTCGCTCGACGAAAGCACTAACTGCATTCACGTCAAACACTTGATTATATACGCCACGTATATCAAGGACAGGACTGTCGTCAACGAGTTTCTGACACTGATAACCGTCGATGCGCTGATGCTGCTTCTCTTACCTCCGCTGTTGTGCAGTACCTGACCGGGATTGGTGTCGACCTGGTGAAAATTACATGCATCGCGACCAACGGAGCCAACGTAATAGTGAGGAAGAACAGTGGAGTGGTGGCCCGGCTTAGAATGCGGATCCCGCACCTTGCGTCTACACACTGCATCGCTCATCGGTAAGGATGTTGTCTATGTTTGTGTTTTTCTGCACTGTCTTGTTTCTGTTTTTTCTTGCATCCAGAGAGGCACTCGCTGCACGTGATGCCGCAACAGCTGTCCCTGAGCTAAGCATGGTCGACGATTCGTCCGTGCCTTTTCCGAGCTCCTGGGGAGGAGCAGTGTGCAGTACCAGAAGTTTCAAAACATGCAACACGTGTTATGCCAGACGAATCTGGAGGTGCAGGGAATACACGCTTTTCGTTGGCTGTCGCGTGGCGAGGTCGTTTCTCGGCTCCTCGAGATCTTGCCGGCCGCCATCGTCGAGCTCAAGGAGTACCGCCTTGACTTGTACGAGGTTGTAACCTTGTTCAAGTTTCACTGGCTACTCCGCTTTCTCGCTGATGTCTTGTGGGCGCTGAACCACTTGAATCAGCGATTCCAGCAGAGAAAGGTGAGTAGTAATTGATGTAACAAGTGCACCTCCCCTTACATCCCGATCTCGCTAACAATCTTGTACTTGCTGATGCAGATCGATGTCACGCTTGCTGCGCACATCGTGCAGCAGACGTGGATGCGACTAAAGGCGCGCTACCTGAATTCGGCCCCCGGTCACGTGTTTGGAAGCGGGGAGCGCATAACTCTTCCCGAGTTCTACAAGAAGCACTGAAAGCTAGAAAACTGCGAGATGCGGGCTGAAGGCATTGACTCCGACATAAATCACGTGTCGTTTTCATTCACCCTGCACGAGCAGCAATTGAAAGGGCAAGACATCGACGATGACGTCACGGCCTGCTGTGAGCTCTCATTGAAGTTCGTCCGCAGGGTTCACAAGGAACGGATGCGCAATCTCGACAACCTAGAGGGGTCGAAGCTTTTCCGCACCGCCTCTTACATCACGAGCGACGCCAAGCGCGTTGAGGCGTTCAAGCGCTGGCTGGGCAAACTGCACAACCTCTTCCACGAGAAGCTGCCAGGTAAGCGGTGTTGCATTGACTTGCTGTGCGTTTTAATCCTGTGCGTTGATAGAATCTGTTTCACCATCAGCTCTATGTGTTCATCTTCTTCTGTTGGACTAATGCGCCCCCTTCCACCTGGTGTCTGCAAGTTTAGCCCTGTTTAACCCCCACCCCGTACATCAGACTTCAACTTCATAAAGGCGAGCAACGAACAGTGGATGTTCACATCCACTTGGTTCAGCCAGCATAACGGGGAGGACTTCCACCAAGCGCTATCGAACATGACGTGCGACGACGGCTGGCAACAGTCCTTGTCAGAATCCCAGTCACTAACCACTGGGATAAAAGGGCTTGTTTGTGTAGCGGGTGAGTGCGCCCATAACCCCCCAGGCCGACGTGCCTGTAACCCTTCCCTAGGATCATCGGGGATCCCCAGTGGACCTCTGACACCCCCCCGCACTGGGATGCCCGAAGTGCACACACCGGGAATCGAACCCGAGACCTTCGCTCTGATACCATGTCAGAATCCCAGTCACTAACCACTGGGATAAAAGGGCTTGTTTGTGTAGCGGGTGAGTGCGCCCATAACCCCCCAGGCCGACGTGCCTGTAACCCTTCCCTAGGATCATCGGGGATCCCCAGTGGACCTCTGACAGTCCTTCCCCAACATTATGAAAATGTGGCAAGCCGTCGCCGTTCTGCTGCTGAGCACGGTGGAATGTGAATGCGGGTTCAGCAAGCAGAACCTCATCAAGACGTGGGGAAGAGGGTGCCTCTCAGACACCAGTCTGGAGCACCTCATGCGCTGTTCTCTGGTGCAGTATGAGGTGGACTGGTTTGAGGTGGTGGCCATCTTCAAAAGAAACAACAAGAGCAATGCCTTGTTTGCAGAAGAGGTTGTAGAGGGCAGTGTCCTTATGACTGGTTAGATTTAGGTAGTGTTGCGTTACCAGATAGAGATGTATCGCCATTCTTAGTTCAACACGTTCTCAAATCTTTATGTGCGAGAAATACCATTAAAAATTGGTGTTGGGGACCTAGTCGCACTGACTAAATTAGAGTTGGTTTTTTTTTAGGCTATCCATCAGTGTAAGAAAAAATCACCCTAGGAGTCAGGGTTGGGCACTGCTGGAGCTTTGATTTGTGAGGGTGGGCCAAAACCAATTTTGGGCCCTGATTGGAACACAAATCTCGTTTGATGCTCTTGACATTTCTGTAGATCTTTATGTGTCCCTATTTGTGAGATGATTTGCCAAGGCCCGTTGACAACGTCGTTACTACCTATTTTTGCTTTAAACAAAAAAGGTTTTACCGGTATAACTCATTACTTTCGACCGCATATTTTATTTCTCTTCTAGAATATTATAGGAAACATAGGGGATGTTACAGGTGCAATTGAGCGAGCGAACGAGAATTGCACTATCGAAGCAAAACAATCTATTAAGTGAAAGAATGAGTGAAGAGTATATCGCGAAGCTAGCGTGGTAACGGTAACGCGAGAGGTTGGGCCGCGCTACGGGCCTAGCGCCGAGGTTGGGAACCAACCGAGCCGTGGGGTTGGGTCGCGTCGTGAACAGGGGCGGGAACAGTGGTGTACGCGGTAAGCAGGGGCGCGAAGTAA